TTTTCTTTCAGTAATTTTAGTTTCATTTTTTAAAAATGTGTATCTTTGATCCACTTAGGGCTTGTTGTGTTGCACACTGTGGGAACAGAACCATGCTTTTCTAACTTTTGCTTTTCCCAGAGGGCTTGCCTTTAGTCTCAATATCACTTCTTTTATTTTTAGGCACCAGAGATTGAACTCAGGGGCCCTCAACCACTAAGCCACATCTCCAGCCCTATTTTGTATTTTATTTAGAGACAGGGTCTCACTGAATTGCTTAGTGCCTCACTTTTTGCTGAGGCTGGCTTTGAACTCAAGATCCTCCAGTCTCAGCCTCCTAAGCAGCTGGGATCACAAGGAATGCGCCATGGAGCCCAGCTCAATATCACTTCTTAACTCCATCCTTCCCCAATGATATGAGGTGCTATCTTTGACAGGTACTAAATTGACATAATATATTTAGAACTACTTAGGAACTTTCTATTTTTTTCTCATTGGTCTGTCTATTCAAATCTTATACTGTTTTAATGAATCAGGCTTTAATTATATTTTCACAACTAGTAGTGAGTCCTCCTCATTCCTCTTCTTTTATAGTCATTTCCTTGCAATGCAGGTTTGGTGACTTTACTTTTCCATGTACACTTCAGAATCAGCTTGTCTAGTCCTGGGAAGTGGGGGTAGATGGAGAGACTATTGGTATTTTTATGTTGGAATAATATTAGATTGATAAACTAACTTAAGGAGAATTAACTTAATATGATGCTAAAAGTCCTACTACAAAAGATGTTTCTTTCCATTTATTTCAATCTTTTGTGATCTTTCAGAGTAGTCCCCCAGCCCTTTCTTCATTCCAAAGATATAGATATAGATACATACACAAGTTTTTGCACATCTTTTCTTCTGTTATATCTTTGTATAAGAAGTCTATCAGGAGCTGGGGATGTGGCTCAAGCGGTAATGCGCTCGCCTGGCATGCGCGGGGTGCTGGGTTCGATCCTCAGCACCACATACAAATAAAATAAAGATGTGTCCACCAAAAACTGAAAAATAAATATTAAAGAATTCTCTCTCTCTCTCTCTCTCTCTCTCTCTCTCTCTCTCTCTCTCCCCTCTCTCTATCTTAAAGAAGAAAAAAAAAGAAGTCTATCAATTTCTTTGTACTATTTTTTATATCTTACTTCCCACTGAATTCTGTTTTTGTTTGAAATAGCTTATCATGACATTCCCTTGGGTTTCTCTTGGTTTGATCTGAATATAGCCAGACTTTTGCTTCCTTACTTCCTTTGCCTCATTGCTTTGGCTAATCCTTCTAGGACAATTTGAGATACTAATAGTGACAGTGGGCATCCCTGTCTTAACAGTGACTACTAGGACCATCTCCAGAATTTCTCTGTTAAGTGCAAAGCTGGTTTTGGGGAGTGAGAGATATAAACTGTATTTTATCCATGATTCCCATTATATTGCATATTTTAAAAATCAAGCATAAGTGTTAAATTTTGTCAAATGCGCCTTTTTAGTGTCTGATAGCTGTTGAGCATTTTTTGAATAAATCATTGGGATTTGCAACTGCTACTTTAAAATAGTAAGATTGTTTTTCTTGTTAGGTGCTCAGCATTTTGAACAATGCCCTGGGTATAGAAATATATGGTCCCCCAGAGCAGTGATTATTGTGGCTACACATTTACCAACCTCAGTGTGTTACATCTTCTATGTTTGATTAATTTGATTTTTGTCAAACACTTTCTGGATGTTCTAGATTTGGGGCAAGAAAGATAGGATGATAAAACTATCAGAATATCAGTACAGGTATGATATGAAGAAGGGGATGAAAGAGAGTATCTGCTGGGAAGAAAAGCTAGAAAAAAATATAAAGATTTGGGAGAAAGAAAGATTCAAGAGAAGCAGCAGAATCTTACCTCCTCCTTACCCCTCACCAGATCCTGGGTCCCATTTCTGGCCTGGCTTATTGCTTCCTAGGCCTCATCCACTGCCACTTTTAATATTTTTCCTCCAAAGTACCCACTTGCTTTTTAAAGTCTTAATATGCTTGGCTGTACCAAATCAACTGTACTTCAGTAAAAATTAATTATCATGCCTCTTTAAAAGTCATTTACAGCTGCCAACCAGCTTCTGGTCAGAATGTGCTGATCAGAATTACCATGCTGAGGAAGGTACTTTCAGCCAAAAGCACAAAAAATATGAAGTGTCAGTCAGCTTGAGGAGGCTTAACTTGGATAAACAAACCATTTTGGAAGGATTTTCAAAACGCTGATATTAGTCTGTGTAGAGCTTATTTCTTTGTTCCTAGATCTTTAAGGACATAGGACCTCAGGGTGAGGGCCTCGGGTCTCACTCTCATTTAAGTTCTGGTGCTCTATAACAAGGCAAGAGGAAGTTGTAGATTTCAACCATGAGAAATGTGCATGACTACCTCCATGATATATTCTAGATTCTTCTCTTACAACTTCTCTACTAGAGGTGCCCAGTGATTTTTTTTAAGTTGTTCTCATGTGAATAATTCTTTGTTCTGAGAAAAGCAGATAGTAAACATGAGCAAATTTGAAAAGATGAATGGTGAGAATATTGCTATAACAAACGAAAGGACTTTTCAGTAATAAAACTAGTTCCTCTGCTTAAGCAAAGGTCCCGAGGGCACAGTGAACAGGGCACAGCCTAACCAGCCCATAATCATAAGGAAGTCAGGCTAGCTCCTGCCTTCTGGCCAGCATGTGCCCTGCCCCCAGGCTACACCCTAAACTATTTCATTCACAATATCTTGGGGTGAGATTCAGTAAGTTCTCAGACTTCCCAGATGATTCCAATGAGCTGTAGGACCTGCTCCTGAAAGTGAGGTCTTGAGACCAGCAGCATTGATATCAATGGGAACTTGTTCATAATGGAAAATCTTAGGTCCCACTTCAGATCTTTGGAATCAGAATCCACATTTTAAAAAGATCCCAAAGATATTCATGTACACCAAAGTACTGCTGCAGTGTTTCTAAAAGTGTGTTGTCTGGACCACCTGCAACAAACTCACTAAAGTGAAGTGGGGTGAGGAGTGGAGGCAGAGGACTTCCTAAAAAGGCTGATTCTGGAGATGATGATTCTGTAGGTCTCAGAGTGGAGCCCTAGAATCTGCGTTTTAATGAACTTCCAGGTGATTTCTAAACCACTGACCCAGAACTACCCTCAGGAGGACAGTCAGCAGCATTACATTGCCTTCTCCTGGCCTCTGGGCAAGTCCCTCAGTGGCTGGAAAAGATCAAAACACACAAGCTGCAAGTGAGGAACATGCTGATGATGATCTACAAATGCTTCCCAGCTTGATGATTGCGATGTTTCTGCTCTCTACTCTGTAAGAGCTGGTGATGGCCCTCCTAGATCACCTAGAATTAAATCTACCTTTCGGGTTGACTCTGAAAGGAGTCTCTCCATTTTCTTGTGTTAGTGATTGAACAGGTGACAATTTGGTTATTAAAGTCTTTACCTTAAACACAGGATTAAAAATATAAAATGTTGATGCTCACATGTATCTCTCTTTGAAGGTTTCAAAAAACACCTAAAATGCAGGGTCAAGAGCCAAGAGAGAGGAAAGGTAAATTCCCTTAAGAAGTCTTCATTTTACAGCTCTTTTTTTGAAATTTTTGCTTAGGCTCAGATTTTTAAATGAGTTAAAAAAAATAAATGAAGCTAGGAATGGAAAATTTGATCTCTCTCAAAAGATTTATTTGAAGTGTGTATTACTTGTAGTTTTAAAAGCAGTCAAGCTCACATAAGATATTTAGCAGCTTTTATGATAACAGATGCTTTAAGTGGATTTCTTTTCAAATACCTAGGATTCTGAATTATGGATTACTTGAAGTGACAACTGAAATCTTTCTAATTATAAAGTGAAACAAGATCGGAGCTATTCTAATGGATAATGAGGTGGAATGGGGAACTGCAATATGATCTAAATATATTTGTTAAAGAATTATTGAATTAAATAAGCAGGGCTGGGGCTGTAGCTCAGTAGTAGAGCGCTTGCCTAGCATGCTTGAGGCACTGGGTTTGATCCTCAGCACCACATAAATATCAAATGAAAACATTGTGTCCACCTATAACTAAAAAATAAAATATTAAAAAAAAGAAATAAGCAAAAGCAAAGAAACTTAAAGCTGGAAAAATGATTTGGGTGGGGGCTTCGTTTTAAAGACTTTCTTTAGAACAGTGTGTTATAATTCTTGGGGGTGGGGAGAGGGAGAGAGGCAGGGAGAGATGGAGAGAGAAGTAGGGCCCCTTTGAAAATGTAATGAAAAACAATGAACCCTTCCCCAGGAGGGTAAGGTACCATCACACACACACTGGCAAGTTTCTGGAGTTCCATAGATTCTCTGGAGCTCACACAAAGGGCAATCCTCAGGCCCCACATTAAGAACCTCAACGTTGCCAGTGATTTTAAAGAAACATTGCTCCGTATTGATTTCTTCCGTTTGGAACAGCTTGAGATCCAAGAGCAACTTTCTCAGCATCTAGGTCCCAAGGCAGTAAAATCAGGGCTGACTTTTACTTAAACGGAGACAATTAAATTAGGTAGACAATTTCATGGGGTCAAGCGGAGGTCAAGTGAAAAGCTGGACCACTAGACTGTGCCAGGGAAAGAAGCCTTTTATTAAAGATGCCTGAGCTATTTCAGAAAGGTCGCCTCCATCTTTCAGAGAGACCCTGACACAGGCGAGTGGCACAGGCAGATCCCTGAGACCTCTGTGGCTCCGTTCATATCAGGAGGCAAAAACTGTCCTAAGTTGGGAAGGAAAAGAGAATCCATTCACCTGAAGACTCACATGATGCCAGGCGTGGAAGAGACTTGCCCGTCACCCCTTCCCCGACAGATGAGGAAACTGACCCCAGAAGGGTTAAGGTGACCTCCCTAGCCACACTCACGCCCAAGGACCTCCCCACAGCACTTCGCCTCCCTTTTCCCCACACCTCCCGAGGTTCTGCCCGGCGGGGGCGCCACCGGGAGACGAGCCCCCGCCTACCGGCACCATGGAGTAGGTCATCATCATCAGCATGTCCTGGCTTTCTGTGCGGATGTGCTGTGCTGGCTCCCCACGATGGCTGCGCTTGTTGCGCGCCCCGCTCGCGGGGTCCGGGGGTGGCGCTGGCGCACGGCGCGGCGCGCGGCTCAACTCCGCCAGGAAGGCACGCAGGGCACTGTCCTCGCGTTGCTCCTGGCCGCGCTGCGCCTCCAGCTCCCGCAGCGCAGCGCTCAGGCCGCGCCACTGGCACAGCGCGAACACCGTTCCTGCCGCATTGAGCACAGAGAGCAATGCCACCGCTGCCAGGGCGCCACGCAGTCCCCAGCCTGCTGCCCGGTGGCCTTGCTCGGCGCCTGGGGCCATGTCTGTGAGCCTCGGGCTAGGCAGGGCAGGGTTGGGTCCCCTCCCGCAGGGCAGTCTTTATACCCTTTGCCTGCCTCCAGCAAACCGTGGGCTGGTGGCAGCGCTGTGAGTCACGCCGCTCTTCCGCGGGGTTGGCGAGGCGGGCTGGGGACTGTATAGGTGGCGCCGGAGCAGCCCGAAGGGACAGGCGTGCAGCAAAGGGATGAGAAGCTAGTGGAGACAGCCCGCGGAGGAGGGGCGGGCAAGGCTCGCATTCCCAGAGCCTGGCCGGCCAAGCAAACCAGCAAACTGGACTCTCCTTTTTTCCCCCCTGTATAACCAGTGGGCATTGTCATGACCCAGACGGGCACAGCGAGGGTCAGACTGAGGGGGAAGGCAGGAATTCTTAAGGCCTGAGAAGTCTCTAGATTGCATCCCATTCCCCCTACACTGCCTTCTTTGGATGAAATGATCAGCATGCCCAGATGCCAAGGCAGAAGTCCACTGTCCCTGGGAGGTTTACTGCTGGACCCAGCACCAGGATGCCCGTCACCCCTCTCCAAGGACATGGGGCCTCATGTAACCACTGAAGATTCTAAGATCTTTCCCCAGGAAGGGCATGGTTGAGGACAAGGAGACAGTTGGTGTTACAGGGTTAAAAAGGCTACTGTCAGAACCAGGAAGCCCAGACCTGCCTGGCAAGCAGGACTTATCCCAAAGGGTGATTTCCAAGATTTGACAAGCCAAGAATTCTCCCATGAGACCCATATCTGGGAGGCGGAGAGCTATGAGGAAAAAATGAAGCGTCAGGAGACCCTTTTCCATCACCGCTGAGGTGGGGGTGGGGCAGTTGAGAATATCCCAAGACTATACTGAACTTCTTTCTGGCTTAAGGGCTGGAGAGCCTGGTTCAGGTTGGAACCTTACTTAGCTCTGTGGTTGTTCCATGCTTATTACCTTTTCAGGACACCTTCACTTTCTTGTTAGCGCAGCCACTTGTTCTGCTTCAAGGGCCACTGTTCCTTAGTCATTTCTGAGCCTCCTGAAAGGACCTAGTCACTCACCATGTTTCTCTGCTTCTTCCAGAATAGTAATGCTTTGCTGGGACCCTGGGGCCTATAGGAGGCCCTGGTCATATGTGAAGACCCAACCAGAAGCTGAGATTGCTATTTTCATAGTAGATAACCCAAGAAGGAGATGGCTGCTGCGTCATCAAGCCACCTGGCATAGTCAGGGAAAATGGACTTCTAGCAGGGGGCCATGGTTGTTTCAGCCAGTGCTGGAGGAAGAACAGCAGGGTAATGGGTAGGAGGTAAGCATCTTTTGATTTAACAGTGGAGCTCTGTAACCATCTACTCCTCAAAGATTTGCACACCTACAGGTAGGCTTTGTGGCACAGGAGAAAAAAAAAAAACAGAGTGACATTAGATTTCTTACCTCCTCTCCAGCAAGTAGAGCCTCCCAGCAAGAATAAGGATACTGAAGTTACACCTTAACCAGAACTCTGTGTCAGGGTCTGGATTCCCGAATTTGAATAAGAACATTAACCAACTTGAGTATTGTCTAAGAACAGTCTTCTAAAGGGCACACAGGATGTGGTAGAATTAGGAAAGTTCCTTGATAAGGGGACATGATGACTGAGCAGGGAAGGCAGCAATGTAGACAACTTTGTTCAATTCCACCCAACTCCATCACACTGGAACTTCTTTGAAGAATTGTTGTGTATTGTCTTTCTTTTCTGATCCATGTCACAATTAGGGCAGATGGTAAGGAGCCATCCGAGAGGCAGAGTTGGGGCTCAGCATCAGTAAGTTCTTCTTTTAATTCAGTAAATATTTACTGAGTGCTTACTGTGTATTGGGCACTGTGATGGGCATCTGAGATGTAGGAATGAATGAGGCAGGCAGTGTGAGCAGTTGGAACACAGTGGTGCTTCTGGGCTTTTCTTCACCCTAACATTCATTAATGTTACCGTTGCCCATCTGTCACCAACATCCACCCTCCACAACAAAACATAATTCTCCTGAGGTTAGGTGATGTGTCTTGTTTGACCCTGTGGTGCCCATCATATAGCATAGCAGCTGCCTTGCTCTGTGCTCTTGCTCCTGGACCCTCTTCTCAGACCTTCTTCCCATCAAGGTGCCACACATCCACTTTCTTCCTCTGGCCTATCTTGGTGTCGCCCCTTCCTCACTGAGTCTTGCCTTGCCATACACTCCCTCTCTTTGGACTCTGCAAGCCCCAGGAGCTCAGTGGTCAGGAGCACATGAGCTTTGGAATCAAGTAGAACTGAGCTTGAAGCTGCTTTTTCTCTTCAAAATATTTTATTTTTACTGCACTTTAGGCTTTGCAATTTTACAGATCACTCTTGGGAAACTGCTTTTTAATTATTAATTTTGCTCTTAGGCTGTATGAGCTCGTGGACAGCAACACTGTGCATTGTGTTGTTGATCAACATCTTCATTTCTCATTTAGGTTATAGTGTGCTTAAGTCAGGGACCTACCTTCACTGTGGCCATCACAGCAGGAAACAGCAGGAACTTGTGCCAAGTAGGAATAGTTGATTAATCAACTGGCTGGTAATCACACTTTGTTGATGCTCTTGAGCAACAGAACTTTTGAATGCATGGCAAACTCGAGCTCTTGTCTGAGTGGCATGGCTTTGACACGAGTTCTGTGGGGCCCTTCAATTTGTGGATGCCTAAGCCTCTTGAGACTTCTTAAGAAGCAGACATGTCTCGTCTCCATAGTATGCCTACCTGGTACTTCTCAGGATGAGTTGGTACTTTCTACTTATTATTATTATTTTTGTAAAAGGTAGCTATCAGTCTGACCTCTTTGTTGATATGGAAGATTCAAGAAATAGTAGGGGCACAAGGAGATATCTGAATTCCCTTTTCTGGACACCAAAGAAGCCAAAGAACACTGTGTACTCTCTTTACAATGAGAAGCAGTTTTTTTCATTAAAAGGAAGATACTTTATTTCCAAAGGTTAAATAGAATGGTCCCTAAAAAATGATTCCAGCTAGTTAACTTTAGGGCTCTAGAGAATCAAATCCAATTCAAGAATATACTCCAATTTTAATTCCACAGCATCTCCTCCTGATTGTGAAGTGAATAATTTTCATTTACTCTAAGGCTTGGCACTTGGGTATTTTGATCTGACATGAGGGTAGCAGTTATGTTGTGACTCCTGATGGTGTTCTGCTGTCTGCCCTAGCTTTTGTCCCTGCCAGTGATTGGGAAGAAAGTCTCGTTAAAAGTTGCCACCAGATACACCTTTCACCCAGTCTCCTCTCCTTTAACTTCCCATTACTACATTCTAAACCTAAGAAATTTCAAACCAATGGTAGGGGATGGTGATGCCTGCCTATAATCCCAGTGACTTGGGAGACTTCAGCAATTTGGGCCTAACGGCTTAGTGAGAACCTGTCTCAAAATAAAAAATTAAAAGGTCTGAGGACAGAGCTCAGTGGTAAAGTGCCCCTGGGTCCAGTCCCCAGTACCACAAAAAACAAAAACAAAACAAAACAAACAAATAAACAAAAAACAAAACAACCAAACAACAACAACAACCAAAAAAACCAACTTCAAACCACCCAATCAAAGTTATCAATTCTCTTTCTTCTTCTTCTTCCCCCCGCCCCATTCATATCCATTTATTCAATAAGTGGTTCCTGCCTACTGTCTGCCAGGAACTGTGCTGGGAGCTAGGAATAGAGTGGAGACAGAAACAAGAACTCATTCCTGCCTTCCTGAAGCCTGTCATCCAAGTGGGGAGACAGAGATTAACCTAGTTGTCACAGACACGTCATCAGAGGAGGCAGCGAGATTCTGTAAGATGCCATCACTGAGGAGCCTAAGGGCGGGGGGTCAACAGGGGTTTGTCTGAGGTAATGAAACTTTGAGCGGGAGTCTGAAGCAGGGTAATTGCTGACAAGGTGAGGGTCAGAACAGGACTGCAGAGTCGCAGAGGGAACGGTATGGTCATGGCCCCAGGGCAGGAGGTACTGATGTTATTTCAGCTACCCTTATTATTACTTGAAGGGTAAGGAGGCTGCAGTATGGACAGCATCAAGAGGGAGGAGAAGGCAGTGAAGTGAGGCTTGAGCCAGGCCAGGGGCCAGAATCCATGGGTGAGACCTGTAGGGTTGGGGTCCTAGTAAAAGCAACGGGAAGCCAATGAGGAATTTGAAGTGTAAGGCTACAAAGGGGAGGGCTGTGTGGATGAATGACAGATTTTCACTTTTAAAGATTACCTTTTATTACCAGTACTAGTTAGTAGAGAAACTATGTGCATCTCTTTCTTCCACCAGGGTCAACCTCAGCCTTTCAACCCATTTTTTCAAATGGAGTAAGGCATTTGAGTTCTAGCAAATGTCTCTTCCTCTGTTATCTGCAGATAGAAAGATAATTGAAAGACCTGGAACCAACACTTAGATTATTTGGATAATCATGATGCTATCTGGGGTTTGTGTTAGTCTCCAGTATGTCAACATTTTCTCAGGAATCCACTTAAAAAAATTATTTAGTTGTAGATGAACATACAGTATCTTTATTTATTTTGATGTGGCGCTGAGGATCAAACCCAGTGCCTCACACATGCGAGGCGAACGCTTTACCACTGAGCTACAGCCCCAGCCCCAGGAATCCACTTTTGGTGGCTCTAGTTGACAGCATTAACTCAGGGAACCTTTAGGGTTGAGAACAAAATTAGGTGATACTGTTTCATTTGTGAGACCTTAATCTAAACTGGGCAAGTAATGACAGGTTTCTGCCTATCATAGTTGCAGTATCTTTGACTTTTGAGTCACCCATTCATCAGCAGATGCAGAACTGTCTTTTGATTGCTGTAGTGGGATCATTTCAATCCCCCCAATTCCATTCTTTATTTCTTCACAACAAACATACCCTCCCCATCCCATCCTGCCCTTCTGGAGCATTGTAGCCTATTGTACAGATTGGCTTCTCTGAAAGTAGATGTTGAGATGGAATTTGATATGCAAGATATTTCTTAGGGA